GGGTATTAGAAAACAACAAGAAAAACGATATTATATATATTTCTATACAGAAAAAATATTGTTCTTAGTTTTACATATTTCTGAAGTACACTTGAGAGTTTTGAAAAACCTTTTGTGATTGCTGCACAATTGGTTTATTTAATCGTTGTATTTTGGAGGTGATTGTCCATGGAGGTTGCAGCAGTTATCGACAGGCAATTTTACTTTAGGACGTCATGTTGTCACGAGACTCGATCAGTCGATAAGTTTTATTTCTGCACTTTACTATATTGCAACTAGTAATATTTCTAACAAATTCTCCTCACAAACTTCTTACTGTGCACATAATAGCAAATTCTTTCACGTCTTCATAATATCACTAAGCCAACGGATGAAGAAGTTGCCATTACATATTGGCGTAGGTTTTCAATAAATTACTGCCTGTTAACAAAATATTTTGGTAGAAATCTTGAATAACCTCTAAACAAAGGGTTACATGTACCTGTATTATTATTATATCTAGAAAAGTGTATATCTTTGTGAATGCGATTTGTGGAGTCAAAAGTAACCTTTACGAGACATTCTTTAATTTTGTGATCTTACGATGACATTGTGTAGGTGCAACGATGGTTCCCATGAGTTGGACTGTGTCCTTTAACATGTCAAATATAGTTCAGAATAGTTGTTAAAATTGGAGCTTGACTAATAAAAGCGGTTGAAAAACTGCTCTCGTATGGTTGTAGTGTTGCTTTCACAAATATTTAGAGGAGATTTTGTGAACTTTTCTAAACCATAAACTACTACTTTTTCACTATTATTTTTAAGATCAAAGCCTGTTTGGTGCACATTAAAATAAAAGAATACATTTTTTTGAAATGATGTGATGGGGAATATGTGGTTGAAAAAAAAAAGTTATTGATGGGATGAAAAATATTATTTTATTGAAGAATATGTGGTTGAAAATGAGTAGAAAAATGAGAATAAGGTCGTGTTCGGTAGAGATTAAAATTGAATTAAAATTGAAAAATTAGTCGTTATTGTTGACTTTTATTAGACGAGTGGAACCCAATAACAGTCATATTTTCAATTTTAATTGAATTTTAAACTGTATCGAACGGGT